CTTATCTTCCAGCACCAACCTCAGACTTTGCTAGTCCGATCGGATTTTAGTCATGGCCAGTCGATTCCCACTAAAGCTTATATTATCCTGTAATTGGAAACATTTAAGTTTTAAAAAAGATGGGAAATTCTCATAAATTATTCATTGGAAAGATAATAATGGATTAAATACAATTAAAATTTGGATTAACCTAATGAAGGTTCCAAAGTGTCTAATGTTTTTAAACCGTTTGTATCTTTGCCATCAACCTCTCTATAAAACTTGACCCAGGGGTGTTCTGAATGTTTTGCCTTTCTTCATGAAGTTAGACAGGACTGTGGTTAATAACATTGTTTCTACAGAAAAACTTCCATAAAATAAAGACAATAATGCTAGCTTGTAGGTTATTTTAAGAAAAATGTGTCAGGGCTGGCAAAATGGCTCTGTGGATAAAGGTTCTTGCCACCAATCCTGAGGACCTGAATTTTATTTCCAGGACCCTAATGGTAGAAGGAGAGAACCCACTCCCTCAGACCTCCACTTGTGTGTGTTATTTTAAAAAACAAGGAAAATACTTCCTGTGCATATGCTAAGTAGCTATTATTATAATGCATGGAAAATAAACATGAAGCTCTCTGTGTGGTTTATGTATGTGTGTGTGTTTCATGCATGTTGGGCTGAGTTACATGTCTCCTCACACATGCTAGGAAAGTGCCCTAAGCTACATCTATCTCCACTACATTAATTTTTCACTTTTTATTTTTGACAGGATTTTACTAAGTTGGTGGCTTTGAAATCTATCTGTAGTCCTGTTTTACAGATTTATGGTGCAGGAGTAAAATAAGTTATGTTCCACAGCCTAAATGGCTACACCATTGTAACACCAAATTCTCCCTGGGAAACCCGCAGGCACTCTCTCGGCTCCCAGGCTCACACTGTCCTAACATTGGTCAAACAAAACCGACACTATGCATTCCATTTGGATTTTTGTCTAAAGTTTATGATGTCTGAAAGAAAGTTATTTTCAAAGCATATACTCATGGGCTCTTTACATCTCGGCTGAGCTTTTTGAGATCCACCACCACCAGCACTGTGCCAAGATGGTGACTACTCTGAAGATTACTGATTGGGTGGGAGGGGTGACTGTCTCTAGTTCTCTCAGAGGACATGCCTATCCAACAACCATCTAGCCGTGTCATTACTTGAGGAGATGTTCACATCATGTCAAATGACCTAACGGTGCAGCTCTCAGAACGCACAGCTCGCCATGAAGACATGCTGTCTTTGGCAGCCACTCGCTCCCACACAGTGTTAGGGAGATGACTAGGGGCAGGGAAGCATGACTAGTAAGAGAATAAAGGTGAAGAGAAGTCAAATTTTAAGCAAACATTTGCAGTTTTAAACTGGAGATTAGAAGGATTGGCAGATGGGGTTAGATTTCATGTGTTCATCTCTTTTCTATTGCTGAAACAAACTCCCTGACTGAACAATTTAAAGGTTTATTTTGGTTCAGGGTTTCAGGGACTTCAGTCCATCCTCAGCTGGCTCCACTGTGCTGAGCCATGAGGAGACAGAGCTTTATGGTAGAGGGCATGGAGGAGCACAGTTCATCCCCTCATGGCAACCAGGGAGAACCAGTGGGGGAGCAAACTATAACCCTCACAGAATTACCAGTGATCCATTTCTTCCTCCCAGCCCCAACCACCGAGGTTTCCAGAACCTTCCAAAACAGCACCCCTGGCTGGGGACCAAGTCTTTCATACATGAGCCTTATAAGGGACGCACTATATCCAAACCATGGGTTCAGTGACTATATACTACAACAAAGCACAGAGGGTTTGAGAGATGGACAGAACAAGGATCTACCTCTGAAGAATTTCCAACCCTGGTAAAGAAGACAACACACATAGGAAAGGGCTGATTGTTTTAAACCTGGAAATGATCAGTTCCATAGGAAATCTGGAACGTGTAAGTTCAGAGTTAGGATGGGCGATAAAAGTCAAGTTGAACTGACTTCACATTACTTTAGAGCATCTTCTGAAAGATTCAGCCAAAATTCTCGGAGAATCTTGTCACTTTACTGCAATCCACCATGAACAGGATCTCTGTATGATACAAGAAAACCCCCTAATGGTTCAAGCAGGTTTGACAAAGAACTCTGCATCCTCACCCCTGGTGAGTCTCCAGGTCATTGTTAAGTCTTTGGGAAGGCGAAAAGACAACCAGAATTTTAAAAGAATAATAATCCCAAAGTAAGAAAGTTAGGCAAGCAGGGGGTTATCTAATCACTTTAAAGTAAAATTAAATTTGCATAAGGGTAAAGGGTGAGTTGAGAAGTGCTTGATGAAGAGGCTAGTGATATCTGTGATAAATTATTTGAGGCCTTGAAGGATCAGGATGTGATTCCAGGAAGAAGGAAAAGAATTGATGCTAATAAGACAGCTACGCTGGTAGAAAAGTTTCTCTAAGAGTCTCAAGAAATCAATGCCTGCATTTAAAGCTGCTAAAGGACAAAGGAAGCCTGCTGCTCACAGTTAAGGCACTCCTGGCTTAAATTGAAGCCCGTGCTCTTCTGTCATTCTGAAAACTCCAGGGTAGTCAAGGATCTTCTCACGGACACCGACTTGGAAATAGATGCCCAAAGTTTGAGTGTAGCTGAATGCTGGGAAAGGCTGCTGCTTGGAGCTTATTATTCAGGCTATGCAGAAGCCCTAACATTTTGAGAAGAGATCAGCTTCAAGGGACCATGTGAATATCACTATTGCAGGGCATTACAATATATTTGTTGAAAGTTACAGATTTAGGGCTGGTGAGATGGCTCAGCAGGTAAAAGCACTTACCTCCAAACCTGACAACCTGAATTTGGTTTGGTTGCTATAAACCTCAAGGTAAAAGACTGACTCCTCCAAGTTGTCCTCTGACCTCCATATGTGCACAGTTATATATACCCAACACACACACAGACACAGACACAGAAGACACACACACACACACACACACACACACACACACACACACCTCCCCATACACAAATAAATGCAAAATACATCCCTAGACCAATGTAGTCTCTTACTTTATTTTAAATGTGTATCCTCATATTTACAGACAGGTCTACCTTCCACCCCCTCATCAACGAAGCTTCTTTTGTAGCAAATGAAGACTGTTACAGGGTTCTAGAACTGGTCAAACACAGAGAATAAATGTCTGCGAGATGCTGAACCCCAAGTGACACGCCTTCATTGCAACCTCTATGTTTAGGATAACTTCTCACCAGAGAAGTTTCGTTATGTAGCAGATGGTGATTAACACAGAAACCCACAATTGGTCAATGTGCAGAGAGTAAGAGGCCACAGAATACTTATCCCTGATTAGAACACTTATTCCAAGCCGCTGCCTCCCAAGATCCAGGGATCATTGTGGAAGAGGAGATGGAAAGATTGTAAGAGCCAAAGTGGCTGGATGACCACAAAAAAGTAGTCTCCAGACAGTTGGTCAGTTACTCATATGAACTCACACCAGTGGTATCAGTATGTACAAGTCCTGTGCAAGTTGAAACCAGAGAAAATTCCCAGCATAAACATGGGGAAGGGAGTAAGAAATCCCGACCCAACCTAAGGAACTTTTGGTAATTAATGGCTGTTTGGAAGGGGAGAGACAGTGTCTTCCAAAGATGGAACAAATGTATTGGTGGACCCAGTGGATGGACCGATGATGAAGGACATTTGGGGACACAAATCTGACTCTATGGGCCATACTACATATACCACTCTCATATATATACGAGAGCACATTAAAATGAATAGGAGCAGTGGGGGGAGATGTGGAGAAGGAAAGGGATCTGAATACCATCAAACTATATTGTATAAAAATCACAAAAATCGGGGCTGGAGAGGCGGCTCAGCGGTTAAGAACACTGGTTCTTCTTGCAGAAGACCTGGGTTCGAATCCCAGCACCCATATGGCCGCTAAAAACTGTGTGTAACTCCAGTCCCAGGGGATCCGACAGCCTCTTCTGTCCTCTGCGGGCATTGCACGACATGGTGCACTTACCTACACACAGGCAATACATGCATACATATAAAATAAAAATAATAAATAAAATTTCTAAAAAATACTTTTAAAAAATCACAGCACTCAATAAAAATAAAATTAAATAAAAATAGATCTTTAATTTGGGTTTTCAAGGAATATTATCTCTGTAAGGACAAACTAACTTTGTCATAACATGAAGAACTTTGCATGCCATTAAGATTTACAAACTTGAAAAAAAGAAATAAATATATCCATAATAGGCTTGAAGGGAAGGTGGGTAAAGAAGAGCAGAAGCTCTAAAATAAGACGGGGGACTGAAGAGCCAGGGGACTCACATGGGGTCAAAGACTCTCCCAGTCAGCACTGCTGTTCAATCAGCCCCTTCAGACCGAGCGCTCCATACAAGACGATTTCTAAAAGGATAATCCAATATATTTGACAGTAACTGTGATCATAAAATTATTGTAGGCATTCTATGATCATGTTTTATGTCTGTTCAAGTTGTAGATCTAATTGCTATTCTGATTAAGTGTATGAGAACAGGATGGCCTACAATCAATGTGGATAGATCACTAACGGTTCCTTCTCATTTATGTGTTAAACTTGAATTGTTTTTAGATTGTGCGCTACTGTACAGTATCCCAAGGTACTTAATTCCCATCTCTGCTTCTGACTAATATTCACGTCTGGACCGCATCTGTCAAAATGCAAATTTATATTTTACTGTAAAAAAAATCTGTAGTTAATGGACTTTGAACACATTTCCCTGACAACAATTTGAAATGGAAAAATCTCTCCTTTGAAATGATGGTTTGGATTATTTTTGAGCATCAGTGTATTTCTTTTGATTTTTATCTTATTTTCTGATGAATCAGAGTATCTATAATAATAACTCCAGATCCTGCCTCCGGTCTGGTTATTTAGTAGCCATTTATTTGTTTTCTTTGATAGCAGTACACATTAATATTTATAGCCTCTTTCCTTTGCAGTATCTCCCAGATGGCTCTGCGCCCAGTGCTCATGTTGAATTTTATCTTCTGCCATATCCCAGTGAAGTTCGTAGGAGGAAAACAAAGTCTGTTTCAAAATGTACCGACCCCACTTACAATGAAATTGTAAGTATGATTTATCTCCTGTCCGAGCATTTCGTATTTTTCTAACTGCTTTTTTTCAGCTTTGCAACGAAATATGGAAAATTTTCAGTAATTGGCAGTACTGTTCCATAAAGGAATGATACTACCCAAAATAGTCCCAGAGTGCTGAGCTCTGTTCTACAGGCTGTGGGAACTGAAAAAATGCAGCTCTGTTTTCAAAGCTCTATGAACCAGTTTTCGGAACTGTGACTAACTCCAGCAGGAACAGGAGGCCTGCTTTGCGGCCTAACTTTCCCCTGACTTTGTTGCATTTTTCCCTGAGTCCATCTTTTTCTTCTTAACCTTACTCTCATGAACTTGATTTTCCTTTACCTAGTAATTTTATCACAGGCTGCCTTGCAAATAGCCGCAACTCTAAAAAGATCTCTTTTGACAAAATGAAACAATGAACATGCAAAATACAAATCCAAGTTAACCCATGTCGCAAACAGCTCTCCAGGTCGTTTGGAATACACAGTTTACACACAGCTTCCTAACTGGATTATTTGACCCCTCCCCCCCTCTTTAATTTCTTGCTGTGTCATCCACCCGACGGTTTACTCAGAATTTTTTAAGCATCAAAGACACCCTGCTCCACCCCTTGCTGTCTCAGCATCTTGTTTGTTTGGTTTGTTGAGTCAAGGTCTTACTATGTAGCCCAGGCTGGCTCAGACAGAGCAGGGATCCTCCTGCCTGAGTCTCCCGGGCGCTAGGATTACAAAACGTGTTGGCTCTGACCTCACTTTTCAGAGCAAACTTTCTTTCCTTTGCCATTACCTCTAAACTTTCACAAAATTAACTCACACTCAGCTCTCCACCGCGACCTTCTCACCCTTTAATCCGATCCACTGTAATGTGGATTCAAACCTTTATTGCTAGACCTTCCCTTAAGTGGCATCTACAGGCTCCTAATTGCTACATCCAATGAGCCCTGCGGCTGGCCTCTCCCTGCTGGTGTGTATTGACAGCCATGCACCCTGATTCTTGAAACCTCTCTTCTCTGCAAGTTCGACCTTTTCTTAACTTCCTTCTGTTTTTCTCTAAGCACTATCTCATTTTCATTCACTGCTAGTCTTCCTCTTAAAACGCTATTTGCTAATGTTCCAAGGTCTACCCTCGCCTCCCCTTCAAATGCAATCAGCCCTCTCTAGCTGCAGGGTCTGTATCCAAAGATTCAATCAGCCCTGATGAAAACAGCTTTTGTATGTGTGGATACTGACCTGGACTGCATTCTTTCCTTACGATTACCCCCTAGGCAATACACGAAACAATGATTTATTCGCATTCTATTACGTTAGGAATTACGTGCTCAGGTTATATGCAAACTACCCATTGTATTACCTTGGGTTTGGGGGAACCTCTGGAGTCCTAGAATTAGTCCCCAGTGGATATCAAAGAACAGGGATAGAGCCTCTCAAAATTACTGGATATATTCATAAGTTTTCTAGTATCATCTCTGTAGACTGTGCCTGAATTGATTCCCCAAGCTCTGCTTTCTCTCTCAAGCTTTTGTTAAAAATTTTTTTAAAGGTACGATCTCATATACCCCAGACTAGCCTGCAACTCACTACGTAGCAAAGGATGACCTGAACCTCTGATCCTCTTGCCTCCACCTCCCAGATGGTGGGATCACAGGTGGACACCACCACACCTGTTTCTCTCAAGCTTTTAGTCTGTATCCCTTCCTCATTACTAGAGATCTTCACTTGAATGTCTCCTGGGTACATGGGAGGCAGGCTTACTTCTTTGCCGTCCCAAAAGACACTGCCTTTGAATATTGTTTATTCCTAGATAATTTCATGCATGTATACATTTATAGATCACTGAGTCTATTTAGTGTCACCTGTGTGGGTATGGGTATGGGGCTACCCACTACAATGACCATGCCCCCAAAGAAAAATGGCTCCCTGTCCACCCCCAGTTAGGGGTGGGGCCTTGTGAGCCCTTCCCCCATCCATGCTGCACCCTTGACTGGCTTGGTCTGTATAGGTTCGAAAGATATTTTCTAAGGACACCTCCTTCTCCCTCACTCACAGGTCCAAACTAACTACAAAGCAGTCTCTCCCTCCAGAACAGCCCTCCTTCCTCATGAATTCTTTGTCTGAAGTCCTTGTTTTTAACCATTGCAATAGCCCTTCTCTGCCTCCTGTACTGTGAACTGTTTTTCTTAAGTCTTTTACATTTCTAGATAAGGTGTCTTTCAGTAGCTAGTTTTATTACTCCTCCACTTCAATTATTTGAAGGTTCCTTGAGGCCAAATAACCAAAAATTTAAATGTGGCATTCATAATCCTTTAAATTTTAACTTGGTAACTTTCTTGTTACATCTTGGAAGAGCATCACTCTGATATCTTGTAGATAATTATAGATTTATGTGAAGTCATAAGAAAATACAGAGTACCTCCAATGCTCCTGGACCACTTTCCCCTGGTGCAACAATTATCCTAACTATATTATGCATCAGCACCAGGAAATCGGCCCCAGGATAATCCTCTTTCTACTTTCACCAGCCTCATGTGTCCACTTTGGCACATGTGTGTTTGGTTCTGTGCAGTTATGTCACAGGCTCGTGTGACTACCCACAGTTAAGGCATAGAGCAGTTCCCTCCTGAGGATTACCAGGAGCACCCTAAGACAGCCACAGATGCCTGCCTTTCTCTAACTTCTCTGCCCTCTCCTTCTTGTGAACAGAGACCAACTACTAATTAGGAAGCTACCTGGAGCACCAGCACCGTATCTCCATCCCTGTGAATTTATCGTTGCAAATGTTGCATCATAGGAATTATAGAATTTATAACATTCTGAGATTGGCTTTTTATTATTTACTTTCCTCATTGGTGTAACCAAATACCTAGCCAAAGCAGCTTAAGGAAAGAAGGGTTTTTTCTGGTTGACAGAGGTGCAGTCCAGCAAGGTGGGGAAGGCGTGGCAGCAGGAGCCTGGGCAGCTGTCCACACAGTGTGCCAGCAGTCAGGAGGCAGAGAGAGATGAACGCTGGTGCGTCCTCATTTTTTACTCATTCTAGAACCCCAGCCCATGGAACAGTTGTTGTCCACATTTAGGGCGAGTCTTCCTACGTCAGTAAATCTAATCTAGAAACTCTCTCACAGACATTCCCAGAGGTTTATTTCCATGGCGATTCTAATACGATCTAGATTCACCACCACAGACTTTTTAGTCGCTGTGACTCCTTATAGGTTCACCTAAATATCTGTACACAGTCCTAATGGTGCCCTCCAGCCAGTCATTCCACTCTGCCCTTCCTGCCTACTGTGAACTGTTCCTTTACACTGCTTAGTAGTATTCCATGGTGTGGAGATACTACAGTCTGACGATTCATCTACAGGAAAAGGCATCTAGGATCTTTACACCTGGACATTATTGGGAATAAACTAGCTATGAACATTGAAGAACAGGTTTTATGTGAGCATAAATTGTAATTTCTGTAACACAAAAATCTGAGAGTATAATTGCTAGGGCACATGGTAATTCCATTGTTTATAAGAAACCACCAGACCTTTTTCAGAGGTGTACTGTATTCCCTTCTTACTTGCAGTCTCACTTTCTTCCATGTCAGTTCACCACAGTCAACCAGTCTTAAAATATGAAGTAGAAAATCCCAGAAATAAACAATCCTATGTTTTAAATTATATATCATCCCGAGTTGTATGGTGAAATTCCACACCACCCTACTCCACTCTGCGGGGGTCATGAACATGCCTCTTGTTCAGCATATCCATCAGGTATATACGGCACCCCTTGGTCGCTTAGCTTTCTCAATAGCTATCAGATTGACTGTCACAGTGTCATGGAGCACAGGAAACCTGATTGCACTTCATCGTGGCCCCAAAGCCCAAGAGTAGCCCTTACTGGCCACATAGATCTGCAAGAAACCCATCAAGTACTTCTTGCAAGTATCAGCTCACGTCATCACAAGAAGGGTGTGTACAGTATAGCAAGATACTTGATGGGAAGAGGCCTCATCGATATGATTTCTGCAGTGTGTTGTCCAAATTGTTCTCTTAGTGGTAAATGTTCTTCATCTCTTCCTGGGCCTGAGTTACAAATTAAGCCTTGTCACAGGCATACATGTATACTCGTAAAAAAATAAAGCCTGCTTTGGGCTTACTATCATCAACCACTTCGGGTGACTCCTGGTGATCTTGGGATGTACCCCTAGTCCATAAAGGAAGACTACTGTGCCATGGTACATGCCCACTGGTGACACGTGTGATCCAGTTCTGTCTTCCCTCCAGTGTCTCGTGTTTACTTGCAGTTTTCATAAGTGGCTAGTAGCTTCCCATTGTGGTTTGGGTTCACAATCATTTAATGACTATGGATGCTGGGCTTCTTTCCATAGGCTTCATTACAACCTATAAATCTTGGGGAAATGCCTCTTCATGTCTCACTACTTTGTACTTGAAGTATTTGCATTCTATTCCTGAGTTTGGAGAGTTCTGTAAAGCTTGGACACTAGTCTCTGTGAGATGCCTATTCTGCAGAGATCTTCCCCCAGTCTGTAATGTGTCTTTGCCCTGCTTCTCTGGGCTTTTGTGCTTTTATTGATTCTTAAGAATTCCATACAATGTATTTTGATCACATTCAGATCCCCTCGCTCATCCCTACCCCTACCCCATTAGCCACTCTGACTTCATGTCCTCTATTATTATTTTTCTGTTTTTAAAAGTTAATCTGTGTTCCTCAAATGGTCTTGGGTATTATGGTCTGTCCTTTGGGGTCTGGCCAGCCTATCAGGCATCAGACCCCTAAAGAAAACTGACTCTCCTTCTCCCAGCAACTATCAACTACCAAAAGATCTTCAGCTAGGGCTGGGCTTTCTTGCTCACCTCCCCATCCATGCTGGGATTTTGTCTGGCTTGTTGGTTAAATTCCACGATCTTTTCAATTCATGGATTTGGATCTGGTGTCAAATCCACCAACTTGTCTACCATCGAATCTCAAAGGTTTTTCTCTTGTCCTTTA